GGCTAATTCCTAGCCAAGTTCAATAACATTATCTATATTTGAGTCAAAAAAGCGCTAGAGCTTTGAATTTGATATTGAAAATCATATAGCAAACTGGGTTCATAGGCAGATTTGGAGTTTGCACTAGAACTCCCTTTTATGCCTATATAGCAGCTACCCCTAAAGCTGCTGCAAAAAGTTGCTGCTGCCCCCAAAGTTATTTCAAAAAAGTAAATTTTATATTTATTTTTAATATTACATCATGAAAAAAATATATATAATATAATACAATAATAATTTAGGAAAATTAAGAAATATGAAAATTTATTATACTAATTTAGAAAAATCAGGTAAATATTTTATATTTTATATTTAAATTTGAATTTTAAATTGTAAAACTATTATTTAATATAATAAATAATTAATTTATACCAAAACCTCTTAATTTCAGTAAGTAACTTTAATCTAATCCTAATATTATGTCACAAGATAAAGGTGATATTTATGATAAATAACAAGTATTAAATAGAATTTCACATCCTAAAACAAAACTAAATTCTCAGATTAAATAGTAAAAAATGAAATATAATAAGTATGAAGCAATGTGACAGATATTATATAAATTATATGATCCAAGTTTTTTGATGGTGATACTATTAAATGTATTTCCAATAACACTTTTTATATATTTTAATGTGACTAATACCAACTTTTTCAGCAATATTTAATAAACCAACCTTAACTTATCTAACCATAATGCCACGCCACAAGTCGAGGGTGGCGTCTGTGACAAATAACGAGTGATAAATAGGATTTCACACTACGCCACAAGTAAGGTGGCGTACATGACAAATTACGATTAGGATTTCACACCCTAAAAAAATTGTTTTATATAAACCATGTACTCTGGGAAAAATATAGTGATGTCTTACAATAATAATAATCTATGGAAAAAAATTTTCTTAATTGATTTCAAAAAAAAAACGAGTTATAAAATATTTTTTTTTTTACGTATGTATTTAAAATGTTAACCTTCGAATGTTAAACAATACAAATCAAATTTATGAGTAATCTTATCGGACAATCACATAAAGACCTCATGAACATTATATTACAAAAATTGCGCGAAAACTTTTAAGATTCATCAACATCCATTCTCATACTTTCATAATTTCTCGAATGTTCACTAACTATATGTTGGTAAAATTCTTTTGGATATTCTATGATTTGAGTATTCAATACAAATTGAGTGAATGGAAACAAATATATAATGTTAAAAAAGAGATATTAAACAATAAGGTAGCAAATGAAGGCTTACCGGAACCTCTGATCGTAAAAGCGTAGCAAGCTAGTTATTAAATGGTATAATTAAGCTCAAACCGATCTATTAAAAAAAAAAATCAACTTAATATATTCGTACCGTCTTCGACCTTCGCTAAATTCATTTTAATTCCTTCCATTTTTCTTGCTAATGGAGACTTGCTTGATATTTTAAGAACATCATAATCTATTTTTGAATGAATGGTCAATATTTTTCAGCTGCAAAGATTATCTTAATTTAAAGTTTTCTTACCAGCCTTTAAACTTCTTAAAAATTGACAAACTTGTATGGCGCGATTATGGTCACCTTTGCCAACACAATTAATAGCATAACGCATTAATTCGCCTGTTAGATCGGCTACACCTAAAACATAATCTTCAGCTAAAACGTGCAGAAACTAAAATAAAATTACACAAGGGTATATACGTTATTATCTAGCTTGTGAGATATCAAGGTGCAAAAATAATATGTTACAAGTTTGCCCGATTGGTCTTTAAATTCAGATTCAACATTATCCTTAGGGAGTAATCGATCATGCTCCAAGTATTCTAGAAATGACACAGCTTCGATATATTCCTGAATTGCAGGAGAAATATTTCTGTGATACCTGAAATGATTTACAATGAAATTAACATTCGATATGTCCTAAAACAATCTCATGATGGTAATTAAGAACCTACCTATAATAATTTGTCTCTTCTAATTCACAAGAAATTTGTTGAAATAATTCAAGTATTTCTTTTTTCTTTGCTGCCGCTTCTTCTAAAATCGATTTTAATGTTTTTTGGTTTGCTCTTATATTTCGAAGTTTAAAAAATTTAAGTTCCATTAAAAGAATAAAGGAAATGAATAGAAAAAATTAAAAAAAATTGACATACCTATGAGCAAGAAATATTAATTTTTTACTCAAATATGTAATATCTCTATTAAAGGAATTGGATCAGCATAATTTCAAATTTCACTTATAAATTGCATGTAAAAATTTAAATAAACCTTGAACACTTGATAATTCTTTCTCTTCTATTATACTAACAAAAATTAGTTAACATAAAAAATAATAATAATAATGAATGTAATATTACACTTACATGTTGGTCTAACGCTTCTCTAAAACCAGTAAACAAGGTTTCGACACCATTTATATCATTTTTATCCGACAGAGAATTTCGAATTTCAGTTTCCATTGTATCAAAAAAAGAAAAACAACCAATACCAAAATTAATCTCTCAATTTCGGCCAATATTAAATTCCTGGATCAATTTGTGGCATTATTTATATTAAATGCAGCGATTTACTTTGTGGCTCATTCAGGGCTATAAAGTTTTTGGCATCAGCACTCAATGCAGTTAAGTTTTTCTAAATTTGGATATTAATTTAATTAATTTTTTATATAAATATTAAAATTCTCCACTTTCTATTTCAGCATTCCTCTTGTATTATATTTCCTCTCTTATTTTATTTTTATTTTTTATATTTTTTTAGATTAGAATAGATTGATATATGTTTTACTTTATACTAAATTTTGAATCACAATTTTTAAAATAATCCGATTTTTTAAATATTTTGTTTATAATTTCCAACTCTGAAAGTTCTCCTTAATTCACTAAATAAATACCTTATGATATTAAAACCAATTTACATTCTAATATTTTTTTTTAATATATAATTTCTTTAACAAAAAAAAAAATTTGGTTATTCCTAAAAAAAACATCATGATGATTCGATTTGAATTAATGTACAATTCTACAAAATTATCGATACGTTATTATGTGTGCTTAACATTTTGTTTAATCTTATTTGGAAATTATTTAAATTTTGTTGATGCAAAATTAATATTATATGATAAAGAAAATAATGAATTTGATTCTTTGGAAAATTTTGATTTACTATTTTTGAAGAATTCGGATAAACATAATATTGATTATTATAACAATGACGTTATTATTAGTGGAAAAATAGAATTTGCTCAATTATTAAAGAGAGATGATAATCAAGTCGAATATGATAATAATGTTGATCTTTGTACACTTAGACCTGTTTCGATAGGAGTTGCTTTGTTGGTAATTCCTTTTAGCAATATTACAAGTGACCGAAATTTTGCCTGTAACAAATTGTCTGATTTATTATTAAGGTAAATTATGTTTTTGATTTTCTATATTTTATTATTTTTTTTGTGCGAATTTGAATTCACGTAATATTTCTTGCAGTAATAAATGGATAACACAGGATTTGATCTTACCTGATAATTTTCAAAATGATGAGTCTGAGGGAGCAAAAATTTTACCTAATGGAACTTATTTAATACCACAAAACGATTCATCATTGCAGCCCACAAAACGAACATTTCCATTAGCAAAAAAATACGAACATTTTATAAATAGAAATCAAATCTATAACAAAAAATTAATGAAACTCCGAGGCGAACCAACATCTGTAGTTCCAGAAGTTATATTATTCGCATCGTTGAATAATGGAGATCCTGGAATTAAGGAACCATTTATGGTTGATCGTAATTTATTCAAAGAAATCAAAGTAGGCGTGACTTTGCTTCGTAAAGATGATATGTTACATTTAGAATCTTTGGTTTCGACAATCGATCACGTTTCCATCACCTCAGGTATATAGAATGATTATTAATTGTTTATTTTTTATTTTCTTAAAATCTGATATATAAATTTTTTACTTTAAAGACGCTGGGCCATGGATAAGGTTACTTCATAGCCAAAATTTTCTAGCATGGACAATTAATTGGGGAGTAACGTTTGGTGCAATATTTTTATTTACGATATATGCCATAACTTGTTTCTTCGATTCATCGGATTTTGTTCCTGAAAATCCAAATATGTATATTTTACCGGGAATCGCATTCAGTTCTCTCGGTAATTAATTTTTCCTAAAAATTTAGATAATCATATGTTAGGATTAAATATACTCATATTTTTTTAAAAAAAAAGTGTCGCTTATCATATTGATTGTTGATCCTTATAACGTACGAGAGCGGTTAACATTGGTTGGATTCACTCTTATCACCGAACTTAATTATTTAATTCTAGGTTTACTTTACGTGAAGTTGCAATATTCATGGTGAGTATATTGGACAATTTTTTATTTTATTGATTTTTGATTTAAAAGCAAATGAACCATTAGCAATTTTTTTTTTTTTTTGATTTATCCGAATAGGGCTAAAGCAGCGGGAGAAATAACATTGTTTGATACACGTTTATCACCAATTACTAGAATTTCAACACGCATTCATTGTCATATTTTATATTTAAACATATTATTAATATTAGCAACATTTATTTTTCGTGTATTGGAACAAGCAAATTTAAATATACAAAACATATTTATTCCATCAATCATATGGGAAATTATTTTCATTACATTGATGAATATGGGATTTTTATCATTTGGTATGTTCATGATATTGGCTTTGGCAACTGATCGTGAAGTCAAGCAAAAAATTGGGGAATCTTTGGTTTTTAAATTTTCAAATAAAGCTGATAGAAGAAAAGCATTAAAGGTGAGAAAATAAATTAATTTATAATAATTATGAAATAAGTTTTAACTTCTTTTTCATTTATATTAGGTATTTGTCATCATGATGATTCTTATGTTTTCATTTTCATTCTTAACGATATCAAATGTATTGGTTTCATCACTTTCGCCGACAGTATCAAATTTTTGGAAATCAAGAGTAAGTTACAATACTTATATATTATGTATTTAATCTATTTTATTAAGGTCTTATTTTGTATTTACTTAGGTGACTAGTGATACATCAATTTCGTTATCAATGATTACAATATTATTTCTGCTTCGATCGAAGTCTTGTTCACGGTATTTAGTTAATCCATCGTCGTCATTACTTACCACACGTCCGTCATCACGTTCATTGGGACCTACACCAGAGCAAGTAGAAGATGATGAAAGAAGAAATTCTGCAGCTTATACAACACGTACAGCTGTAGTTCGTCCGGAACCATCTTACAAGATGAATCTAAATCGTATTTCTTTTGAAAAATGCGGTACTTCGTTAGGGATGGGTGGAATAATTGGAAATACTTCTTTATCTAAAGGTTATACTTTAATGAATGATTTAAATAATAATAATATTAAAAATAAAAATATCGATAACAGTGCTATAAATGATGGGAAAAATAGTGGATATGATCATAATGGTTTTTTAAGAATACATAATAATAATTTGTTCATTAAAAGTGAAGGAAATAGTAAATTTGATGTTATTGATCTTTAATTCTTTAATTCTTTACTTTGTATTTTGTATTATTTATTTAATTATCATTATTGATTAAAAAAGGTTGTAAAATTAGCTTTTTATTTATATTTAAAATTATTTTTTTTTTAAAAAAAAACGGATAGTTTTTTAATATTTGTTATAAATAATTTTACACATTCAGTATAAAAACTTTTGATAAAATTTATAAAATTTTTATTTATTATCAATTGTAAATATTATATAATTAAGTTTTTTTTTTTTAAAAAAAAAAAATAATTTATAAGTTGTTACTTATAATTTTATATCTTTTAACTCAAAAAGTATTATAAAATTCTTTTTAATATAAAATATAAAAAACTTTATAAATTAAATAAAAAATATATAAAGTATTTTCTTAAAATAATAATATTAAAACAAAGTTTTTTATAAAAATAAGATTTTATATTTTTTAAATGGGAGTTTTGCAATAGAAAGATATGATTACTCTAAAAAATTTTTTTTGAATTAAAACTTATTTTACTAAAAAAATCATATTTAGTTTATAAAGTAAAAATTTAATTTTTTTAGAGTATTGTACTGTTAATGTATGATTTTTGCAAACCATAATGATAGATGAAGCATTTGAGTAATTGCTTTTTATTGGTAGCTTACTGAATTCATTAAAATAATTGTAATAATATATATATTTTTAAGTAAAAGAACACTTTATAAATCATACATTATGTAGCAATTAATCATTATATTTCCAATATTATGCATGTAAAATTAAATTTATTAAAGATAAGATATGTATAAGAATAATAAAAATAAAAGGATAATGCAAAAATGAATAAGCACATTAGCATCAGGCTAAAGAAAATCTAACTTCCTATCATTTCACATTTACAAACTATCCTATTTATATATATAGAAAGATAAAACTAATATATTATACATTTCTATAAGAAATCGAAATAAGGAAATGATACGTTTTTTTTAAGGTTTGTATACGTAATTAATGATTCTATATCAAAAT